CGTAACAATACCATAAGTTCATCAAAGTAAACATGATTATTATGACTTAATAGGAGCACATTTAATCAATCGAACAAAAACATTTACGAAAAATAAAATTATGAGTTAACATTTGAAAGTAGTTTTATGGTTAAACCCTAATATATCGAGAATAAGTTGAAAACGACAAATAAGTAAATGATGTCTTCAGCCTGAAAGAAAAAAAACAGTATCGTTTGTATTAAAGAAGGTTGACACGTTGTCAATGTTTACATATTTAGCGAATAACGAAGTATTAAGTGCTTATAAAAATTTTTAACACCAGTCACGCTCCCTAGAACAACTAGCTATCACAATTACACTGGTATTCACAAATTGGAAGCGATGCTGCCATCTACTAGTCATAAGCAGAACGTCATGAAGGACATAAAGCATCAAAGCATATTTCTTAACTTCAGTAATTATTCTTTCTTTGTAACAATCATTATGTAGCTTGTTTCATTGTTAATTATATATATATAATTGATCTTATTTCCAAGAATGGCTAATAACGTTTTTATTTAATTACTATTATGAATAAATGTTATAAAACGGAGGATATCATGATTGTGATAAAGAAATTTATATTTAGAGTTATCTCAAAATTCAAGAACTGTGGTAATTCTAAATTACGATCAAAAACTAGGTGGCGCGATTTGACACATGATACTACATAGACAAAGCTTTCGTTCTTGACAAGTTTTAGGCCCAATACAATTTTTTTTTATCTTGTTATTATAATTATAAAAATGTATAAGTGAAAACAATAATATCTCAACTACACTACATCTGTTGTATACAGTGCTGACTGTGTATTTCGCTTAATACCAGGACTCACCTTTCTGGCTGGAATACGATAGCGGACAGACAAATTAGACACGATAATGGTCGAGAAGCCTTTTGTATCAGCAACAACTATTTTGGTGTGAACTAGATGAAGTTAGTGAACTGTAATTTTTATCAGTTTTATTTCAATCTTTACAAATAAGAATTAGATTTAAGATTTTTATTAACATCAAACTGTTTATTTATTTTAAGTTTAACACAAACATTGTGTGACGATAGAACTCTACGAACTCTAGTTCGAAAGTGTGCTTGAAATCACTAAAAATAGATTCAAGACAATCGGCTGCAACAATACGTAAGTTGAATAAAACCTCTTATCCGTAACTAAGAGTTCGGTTATTACCATAATAACCTTTTGGATTATTCTTGGCATTAATAAACGACTTTTTTATATAATTTTATGACTAGAATACGTGAGAGAAATGAAGCTAAAATGCTTAACTAGACTTTACGACCTTTTAAAAATTAGTTTGTTTGTTTTGTTGAATTTCGTGCATAGCAGCACGAGGACTATCTGTGCTACTATTTGAACTTTGTAAGTACGGCAAAGATGCTAAGGTTGTCTAGACCAGAGGGAAGGCAGTCCGTCGGCATTACTATATCAGCCATACTAAGAGACTGACTGTTATTCTTAAAACGCATCCACAGCTGAAAAAAAGAGGGGGGGATATTATACTGTATCGCTCGATTTCGAGCTCGCATTGTTAGCTCCGAAATCCAGAGATCTACCGCATGGTAACTCGCGCCTCACATCTGTGATAGCTGTCTCTGATGTTGAAGTGATACACTACAGGAAAGGTAGCTAGTCAACACCACCCACTCCTTACTCTTTTCTGTCTGAATAGTGGGATTTGATCGTTACTTTTATAACGCACTTGAGGTTCGTGATGCATAAGTGCTAAGGAAACTTTAATCCACCAATATTGGACCATGCGTGATCGAGTGGTTTGTACGCCAGGATATCGTATCCGAGGGTTTGCTGTTCGCGGCTCTTGCCGTGAAAATACGTTTTAAGTCTTTGGGTACACTATAAGAGTGACGGTCAAATCCCACTATTCGGTTCAGACAAGTGTAGCTCAAACGTTGGCGGAGGATGCTGTAGGCTACCTGTCTTCCCTCTAGTGCAGATAACCACTGTGTATATTTTTGCGTGAAAATCCTAAAAATAGTCTACCAATATTTCCATGTAGTTAGTTTGTAAAAAAATATATATAAAAAAATCAACATCAGAGCGAAATATACTTCTAGTAGTAGAGTATATACCGCTAAAGAAACCATAGCATAACAACTTGGCCATAAGACCGGTGAGCACCTTTCAGGCGTCGAGTGCACACCTGTACATCAAATTTCAAGATTTAAATAAAAATAATTATTTCTTCTCTCAAGGTATTTTACAATATATATTTTGCTATTTTTAATAACATTTATTTAGTGTTATTTGTAGAGAAATGTAAAAAATGAAACTTCCTGCAAAGATCAGATCGATTGTTTTATAGAAATTTTCTGTCAATTCCAATAATTGTCTATCATTCCTCGAGGATGTAATCACCTTCGTCTTGCTTCTCGTTCAAGTTGTAAAGTAAGAAAATAAATAAGGACTATATTAGAATTTTGTTGTGGGATACATAACATTTCTTGAACGCTACTAATTTCTACTGTTAACATTTTGTACAATTTGTTGGGGAGATGATGAACCAATGTTCTTACATACTTAATATTTAGTTTTAAAATGTGAATCGAACACCTGATCTTTTTACATTTAGCATATTATGGCGATGTGTTATACTACCACGTACTTGAAAGGGCATGAAACAAGTGTGAACTAACTTCCTAAACTTTTAATATTAAGTTCGTAGAAATTATATACATTTACCTTCTAAAAACCTAACATCTATTAAAATATTCTTATTTCAGCCTTAATCTTAAATATATTCCTTTTAGGTTGTCTTTGATCTGCCAGAACAATTATTAGGTGACGTGAAACTGTCTCTACAATTAACTCTATAATGATGGATTTTCTAATGTAAAAATAATGATCACATAATTGTGCTTTAAATCTTAATCTTTAAGTTCTCAAAATTTAGCTTGACTTTTAGAAATTTATTCGTTTAGTCTAACGATGATGTTTATTGTTTGTTTGTTGTTTTTTGCCAAAGCTATCAATGTTAGTCTGAGTTTAAATAAAAGT